GGGCCCAGTGTACGAATTTGTGCACCTTGAAAGGAACTGTGGGCTGTGAGGCTGCGATGGGTACAGGGGCAGGTCTCGGCCCATCCTCCATGTCCCTGCTGAGTCCTTCGGCCATGGCCCCTGGTCCCCTGTCTGCCTGTAGCCCCTTTCCCACTGCCACTGCTCCCATGCACTGATGGTGCTGGCCCCACTCACACCTGCTGACTGTACAGAGCAATTTGGGCTAGCACTATCAGCAGATGCAAGTGGGGCTGGTGCTGTCAGCAGGTGTGAGCAGTGGCTGCTGCCCTGATCACCCTTCAGGAGCAGGGGGAGGTGGAGAAGCCCTCAGGGGCAATCGGGGCTAGCAGCTGCCACTTGCATCTGCTGACAGTGCTGAGAGATCAGGACTGGTGCCAGGAGCAAAAAATTTTCAGTAACCACCAGAGGCTCACCCCGATGACAGTGCCCAGCTCCCCACCTTGGTCTGGCGTCCCCGCTCACCTGCTCCACCATCCTGCCACAGTCGACGCCCACCATGTTCTGCACTCTGCCACCTGCTGCCAATGCCTGCCATGTTCCATGCACGCCCCTGGTGATTAGCTCACGTCATAGTGCCCGGTTGTTTAGTTGTTCCACCATTTGGTTATTTGCATATTAGGGTTTTCTATATATAGATGGTGACCGTCTGCTTCATGCAAATAATGATTTTAACATGCAACTATTTTGTATTCAGCCAAAATGTATATTTGGTGCCCCTCTAAAAAAATATTAAACGGAAGAATATGAATAAAAGCTTGGTTATGTGCCCTTTACTTAAAAGTTAATTGACAGAAACCTGAAATGACTTGTAATTAGGTCACAAATTTATTCTAAGGAAGAATACCTTTATTTTCTGGAATTTAGGCATTTTTTTACTGCCATCTTGCATTCTCTATCTTGTCTCTTCTGCTGCCACCAGCTGGCTCCCACTACAGATAAATTCCCTAAACCAGCAGGATTCAGTTCAATGTTTTGTTTTGACTGCTGGGTCCCTGATGAGAACACCAAGTCAGTTGAATAAGCAAATTTTTAGGTTTGGAACAGAAAAACACAATCAACTTATTTACTTCATATTTGGGGTAATCAGATAGCTCCACAGCAGCTGGTACTTGTCCCAGCAAGTGGTCCAGACAAGGCTGCAGGCTAACAAAAGAGAAGACATTTCCATTCTTAAGTTAATATTCTTCTCCCAGGGAGTTATACACTGAGTGGCCAGATTATGATGATCTCTGAATGCATAATAATCTGGCCATTCAGTGTATATCCTATATAATAGAAGGCTAATCTACACATTGTCCCTCCACCAGGAGTTTGACCAGCAGGCAGGCCGGCCAACTGCCCATGTTCCCTCCCCCTGGCCAGGCTGGCCGGACCCCACCCATGCACGAATTCATGCATTCATGCACTGGCCCTCTAAACACACACACACACACACACACACACACACACACACACACACACTCTGAGTGGCCAGATTATTATGTGTTCAGAGGTCATAATAAATAATAATCTGGCCACTCAGTGTATAAGAGCAAAGGTCAGCTCAAATGCTATCGTGCACCAGTAGTGTTAATGCAATTTTAGGTTTTAATAACTTCAGAAGTACAAATTCTGCAAACGTACACAAAACATCATTTGAAAGTAAAATTATTTCAATTTCCTTCATGCTTATTTGATCTTAAAATTTTTTGAACAGTAAACGTATTTCAATTTCCTTTTTTCAGTTAATGTCGCGACCCACAGGTTGAGAACTGCTGCTGTAGAGCCTAAGACCATCCAAAAACATATATTTACATTATGATTCATAACAGTAGCAAAATTACAGTTATGAAGTAGCAACGAAAATAATTTTATGGTTGGGGGTCACCACAACATGAGGAACTGCATTAGAAAGGTTGAGAGCCACTGCTGTCTGTAGAGGATGCTTCAGAGGTGTGTTTCTATTTGGGATACTTGTTCTTAAGATAGTATTATGTCCTTGATATTTGGGTATTAGTTTTTTTTGTTTTTGTTTTTGTTTTGTTTTTGGTTTTTTTTTTTGAGAGAGAGAGAGATCGCCCAATCCTGGATCTAAGGACTCCTCCACTGTGTAATCTCCTCTCTTTGCAAGTTCAAATGCAACTAAGTAGAACAAGTATTTCATTTTACTATTAAACCTAAAACACAAACGAAACTATTTAAGATGATATTCATGACATGGTTTTACTATTCGTAATTAACATTTTTATTAAGCATTTGAGAATTTATATGATTTTATTCCACACAGAGTTACCCCCACTGAACAACCCAGCCAGGACCGGTATTAGTATTTTTATTGATGATGCTTTTCCAGAAAAGGTAGAACAAAAAACCTTTAAAGGCTTGAACAGTAAGAGAATGCAGGAAAACACTCCATAAATCTTCGTTTTCCTTCCCATCAGAGACCATCTAGTTCAGTGGTTCTGCCTTGGCTGCACAGTGGAATGACTTAAGGAGCTTAAAAAAAAAATACTAATGCTTGCCAAAACCGGTTTGGCTCAGAAAGGTCCCTGGTTCGATTCTGGTCAAGGGCATGTACCTTGGTTGCGGGCACATCCCCAGTAGGGGGTGTGCAGGAGGCAGCTGATCGATGACTCTCATCGATGTTTCTAACTCTCTCTCTCCCTTCCTCTCTGTAAAAAAAAAATCAATAAAATATATTTTTAAAAATACTAATGCTTGTATTCCATGCTGAGATTCTGATTCAATTGCTCTAAGCTACATAACTTTAAAAAGAAATTTTAAATGGACATTAATAGGAGTAAATATGAAATATTGGGACGAGATTTTTTTTCTAATGCCAAATGTAGGACCTATAGTGACAGAGCTTAACAGCAGCTCCTGTGGGATTTAAAACAACAGCAGCAGCAACAACAACAACAAAACCAGCCCTGGTTGGAGCATCATCCTATGCACCCAAAGGTGTTGGGTTCCATTCCCTGGCAAGGCACATACCCAGGTTTTGGGTTCGATCCCCAGCCAGGGATGTATGGGAGACAACCAATCACACTGAAGTTTCTCTCCTTCCCTCCCTCTCTCTCTAAAAATCAATAAAAACATCCTTGGGTGAGGATTTTTTAAAAGTTTAATTCACTGCTTCCTCATCACCTCTTCATTTCATTTTCCCAGTTTCCTTGCATTATGGTAGTATCACTGTTTTTTTAAGAGCTTGTTTATCACTAAAGATGTTAACCAATACTCATGCATTGCAAATGAAATACCATGTTTTTGTTACTATTTTACTCTGGTGTTTTACTTTAAAAAATATATATATATTATTGATTTTTTACAGAGAGGAAGAGAGAGGGAGAGTTAGAAACATCAATGAGAGAGAATCATCGATCAGCTGCCTCCTGCACACCCCCTACTGGGGATGTGCCCGCAATCAAGGTACATGCCCTTGACCGGAATCGAACCCGGGACCCTTCAGTCCGCAGGCCGACACTCTATCCACTGAGCCAAACAGGTCTCGGCTGGTGTTTTACTTTTTGGTTGTATCAAACGTGTATTAAATATAATCATATACTGTTTTTTAAAAATAAAAATAAAAAATAAAAGTTTAATAACCTGTAGATTCAGGAAAACTGAGTAGATCTCCATAATGGCTAAAGCCACCACCGGTAGTATTATCTCCAGCTGAAGACAGGATATTGGGGTTTGGGAGGAGGCCAGTAGGGGAGGTGACCAGAAAAGCACAGTAAATAAGGATAATGGTTATGCAGGATTAAGGTGTTTGCCCTCCCCATTGATAAAGTGATAGTGTTCCTGCTACCCTTCCTAGAACTGAGAGGGCCACACCTTTGCAGATGAAGATTCCCTTTATAAGTGTAAATGCCTCTTACCAACAGGTAACTTCTAATTGGTTTCTCGAGCTTCTCTTGTCTGTTTTTAATAACCAGTTTAAAATAATATACCAAAAAGGCATATTTTGGGGTCTCAAATTCTCCTCCGCCGCAGCTCTCAAATACATTGTTTAACAAAAGTAGGTTTACAGTTGCGAGTATGTGAAACATAGTTTATTCTTCTATTGCTACTTATTGTTTTATTTTAAAACATATTTTTATTGATTTCAGAGAGGAAGAGAGAGGGAGAGATAGATAGAAACATCAATGAGAGAGAATCGTTGATCAGTTGCCTCCTGCACGCCCCACTGAGTATTGAGCCCGCAACCCAGGCATGTGCCCATGACCGGAATCGAACCTGGGAACCTTCAGTCCACAGGCTGACACTATCCACTGAGCCAAATGATCTAGGGCAAGTGTTTTATTTTTTCGTACCAACAACTGTAAACCTACTTTTGCCCCACCCTGTATTTTGTTGAGCAAAATTAAGCCAGACACAAAGAATGCCTATTGTATGATTCTGTTTACATAGAGAGGAGGGATTGACCAGGAAGGAAATTCCTGATGTAAATGTTCTTTATTTTTATGAGGGTACACCAATAAAACTTATTAGAACTCACTGAAAGGGACAGCTGTCTTCTGTATTGTGATTTCACCAAATGCAAATGCCACTTCAATAAAAAGAACAACTAAAAGCAATAACTTAAATCTGGAGACCTAGAACAAGGTCTGGGAGGTGGGGGTAACCCCAAACCCTCACTAGACTAAAAAGCAACAGGAAACCAGAAAACAGAACACGAGCCGACAGCAGGGAGGGACAAAGCCTAAGAAATAGCTTGGAGGGCCGGCAGTAGCAGCAGCCTAACGGCTGCCAGAACGTCAGCGCGCCAGTGTCCCACCAAAACAAGCCCCCGCCTCCTTTTCCGGCGCGCATGCGCCGGCCCGTGTCGAACCGGAAGAGGCCGGAGGGAAACGGCACCATCGCGAGAAAGGAGCCGGCGGCCGGCTCGTTCCTGCGCAGATGGTGCGCTTATAGGCATCGCGCATACGCTTCCAGGCGCCGCTCGCGGGGAGGACGACGCTGGGGCTCGCCTGCCCTCCGCGGCCCCCGTCGCTGCCATGATTCCGGTGTCGCTGGTGGTGGTGGTGGTGGGCGGCTGGACCGCCGTCTACCTGACCGATTTGGTGCTGAAGGTGAGGGCCTCCGGGCCGCTGCCCGCGTCCATGGCACCCGGGACGGAGGCGCGGGACCCGAGGCTTTTTGTCCTCTCCCTCGCGGTTCCCGGGCGGGAAGCCGCGGGCGGGCGTCCACGTGCGGCCTCCCGCGTGCTGCCCGGGCGGCGGAGCGCATTTTGGCGGGCGGCGGGAGGGGTGTGGCGGGCGGCGCTGTAGCCGCGGTCGCTTGGCGGGGCGGCACCCCGCAGCCTCGGGGGCCAGCCCTGCAGGCGATGGCGGTGGTCTCGGAAGGGACGGGGCGCTGCCTTCAGCGGCGGCGGTGCCCCAGGGCTGAAAATGTCCGCGTGGGAAAGGCATGGTCCCCCCCTCTTTGTCTCCGAGGCCACGACCCCCTAGAGAGCCGGTGTTGGGGTGAATCGAAATCAAGTTGTGATTTACGTCGAAAACGTCCAAGTGCACCCGGTCCTCGGAGGTTCCGGTTAGAATGTATATTCTGATTCATCCGCTCTGGGGCGGGGCCTAAGGTTTTGTGTTTCCCAGGCTGCAGCCTATACTTTAAAGTAATGAGTATTTAGCATAAGGTAACCAGATCGTCCCGCTTTTTAAGAATTTTTCCCGCGGGACGCGCGGGAAAAATTGTTGGAAAGCGGGACGATCTGGTCCACCTTAAGTTAGTAGCAAGGATTTAGAATCCTAACTGTATTCTAATTTGCATCTTGCACCCCCTTCTTCATATTGACTGTCCCCCCCCCACACACACACACACACACTCTGCATACATGATCCATTCTCCAGTTATTTGAAAAGTCTAGCAAAAGTTATGACCATTGACCACGTGCTTTCAGCAACCTTTTTGGAATTGAATATTGGAGGGTGGGGGAATCAAAGCATATAAATTCTCAAATGTTTAATCAAAATGTTAATTACGACTAATAAAACCATGTCATGAAGATCGTCTCCAATAGTTTCGTTTGTGTTTTAGGCTTAAGAGTAAAATGAAAGACTTGTTCTACTTTGTTGCATTTAAACTTGCAAAGGTTACACAGTGGAGTCCTTCAGATCCAGGATTGGGCTCTTCCGCTTCCCAGTGGTTGTGAGACTGTTGGGCAGGATAGTCTTTTGTGCTTCCGATTCTTCATCTTTAAAGTAGGGGGATAATAGCAAAGATTTCCTGATGTAGTAGAGAAGATTGCATTAGTACATCCACAGAAAGCCTCGCTCCTCAACCTGAGGTTCAAGGACCAGCAGCACCTATATTATCTAGAAGCTTCTCAGAAATATAGAATCTCAGTCCTCATCTCTGGACTATAGAATCAGACTTGCATCTTCATGGGCTAGGTCCGTGGTCGGCAAACTTCGGCTCGCAAGCCACATGCGGCTCTTTGGCCCCTTGAGTGTGGCTCTTCCACAAAATACCACGGCCTGGGTGAGTCTCTGTTGAAAAAGTGGCGTTAGAAGTTTAAGTTTAAACCATGTGGCTCTCCAAAGACATTTCAATCGTACTGTTGATATTTGGCTCTGTTGACTCATGAGTTTGTCGACCACTGCCCTAGGTGCTTCCTCTGCACATGCTTGGCATAGTGCTTAGCATGTCATGAGCAATACAGACTACTGCTTCTTTAAACAGTGGTTTTGTTGTTTAGAAAAAAGCAAAGCCACATGGTTTCTTCATGCTGCATGTGTGACAAAAGTCCAAAATAAAAGGCAGTTTTCAAACCTCTGTAGTCCTTGGTCAAGGGTGTGAGGTGATCAGAATGGCGGTTTTAGTTTCAGGAACAGCCCCTGGCTTAAAAGACCACCATTCCTTGAGCAAAAGACTGTCTTATTCAGTGTATCTGCCCGGGGAATGCAAAGGCCTGAGAGCTTTTGGAGTCTGAACGTTCAGCTCCTCTGTTTCAGGGAGTCATTCTGCTGTTCCTCTCTGTGTTCTTTTAGGATTTCCTCTGTGGACCTCTCCTTGAGGGGTGTCAGTCTCCTTTAAAAGTCTTGGAAAACAAGCAGGTTTCAGAAACTTCACCTGAAGATTGAGAGCAGAGAGCATTCCACCTCCAAAGGCAAATAGATGCCTATATTCAGACTCTAGTCATTTTTTATGACTGTGATAGGGGTGAAATATTCTTCTAGAGATAGATAAGTTTCTCAAATGGATGGGCATTGGTAGGACAAAATACTAACTGTACTTTCTGTAACTGAATAGGGGTCTGTGTATATAAAATAGACTTACATTATCCAAAATCTGCACTGAAGGACTTCAAACTTTCCTAAAAGTCAAACTCTTGTGAGGCTGTATTTAAGCAGCTATCTTGGCAACTCTAAAAAAAATGTAAGAGAAGTTACTGAGCTCAAGTTGGCTTTAGATAATTTTTTTTTTCTTTTACATAATCAAAGTAGGCTTAAATTCCTAAGGTTGCTCAGAAAAGATTAGAAAGCTGACTCCAACTAACCTGTTTCCTGTTTGACTGGTTGGGGTCTATTTAAATTTTAACACAAGACCTCTTTCTCTTTTTTTCTTTTTTTAATATTTTTTTTGATTTTTTACAGAGAGGAAGAGAGAGGGATAGTTAGAAACATCGATGAGAGAGAAACATTGATCAGCCGCCTCCTGCACACCCCCCACTGAGGATGTGCCCGCAACCAAGGTACATGCCCTTGACCGGAATCGAACCCGGGACCTTTCAGTCCGCAAGCCGATGCTCTATCCACTGAGCCAAACCGGTTTCGGCACAAGACCTCTTTCTATAGTAGCAACGGTAGCCACTAACTACAGGTGGCCATCAGGCATTTGAAATGGAGCTGGTCTGAATTGAGATGAGCTATAGGTATAAAGTTGAAACCAGATTTCAGATTTCAAAGTCTTGGTGCATAAATAAATAGAATTGTAAATTATTACAATATTTAAAATTTTTATTAAATTTATTGGGGCGACTGGTTTATGAGATGATCTAGGTTTCAGGTGTAGATTTAAAAAATATATATTATTGATTTTTTTTACAGAGAGGAAGAGAGAGGGATAGAGAGTTAGAAACATCGATCACTTGCCTCTTGCACACCCCTTACTGGGGATGTGCTTGCAACCAAGGTATGTGCCCTTGACCGGAATCGAACTTGGGACCTTTCAGTCCACAGGCTGACGCTCTATCCACTGAGCCAAACGGGTTTCAGCTCAGGTGTAGATTTTTATGATGCATAAACTGTATATTGCATTGGGTCCACCACCCAAAGTCAAATCATCTTCCATCACCATATATTTGGCTTGCTTTACTTTTTTTTTAAAGAGTTTTTTAAAATATATATATTTTATTGATTTTTTTTATAGAGAGGAGGGGGGAGAGAGAGAGAGTTAGAAACATCGATGAGAGAGAATCATCAATCAGCTGCCTCTTGCACACCCCCTACTGGGGATGTGTCCGCAACCAAGGTACATGCCCTTGACTGGAATCGAACCTGGGACCTTTCAGTCTACAAGCTGATGCTCTATCCACTAAGCCAAACTGGTTTCTGCGGCTTGCTTTACTTTTTATTACCCTCACCCCCTTCCCTCTGGTAACCATGGTGCTGTTTCATATCCTACATATGAATGAAATCATATGGTTCTTATCTTATTTTCTGTCTGATTTATTTGGGCTAGCATAATCTCAAACCACGTGGCAAATGGCAGTAGCTCATCTTTTCTTCAGGCTGAGTAGCATTCCATATTATATATGTGTCACATGTTATTTATCCAATCATTTATCAGAGGACACTTTGGTTGTTTCCATGTCTTGGCCACCGTGATTAGTGCTGCAGTGAACACAGGGGTGCATATATCTATGCAAATAAATGTTTTCAAATTTTTTGGGTTGTTATCCAGAAGAGGGATTTCTGGGTCATTTGTATCTATTAATTTTTAAAAATATATATTTTATTGATTTTTTTTGTACAGAAAAGAAGGAAGAGAGATAGAGAGTTAGAAACATCGATGAGAGAGAGTCATCGATCAGCTGCCTCTTGCACACCCCCCACCGGGGATATGCCCGCAACCAAGGTACATGCCCTTGACTGGAATCGAACCCGGGACCCTTCAGTCCCCAAGCCGACGCTCTATCCATTGAGCCAAATCAGTTTCGGCTGTATCTATTAATTTTTTGATGAACCTCCGTACTGTTTTCCGTAGTGGCTGTACAGTTTACACTCACACCAGCAGGGACAGCCAGTTCCTTTTCCTCCACGACCTCTCCAACGCTTGTTATTATTTGTCTTGATGATAAATAGCCATTCTAACGGGCAGAGGGTGGTATCTCGTAGTTTTGACTTGCATTTTCCTAATAGCTAGTGATGTTGGGCACCTTTTCATACATCTGTTGGCCTTTGTATATCTTCTTGAGAGAAGTGTCTGCTCAGGTCCTCTGCCTATTTTTTTTTAAATGTTTTTATTAATTTGAGAGAGAGAGGAAGGGAGAGGGATAGAGAGATAGAAACATGGATGAGAGAGCGACATCTTCTGGCTGCCTCCTGCATGCCCCCCCAGGGACTGAGCCTGCTGCAACCCAGGCATGTGCTCTGACTGCAAGCAAACCAAGGATCTCTTGGTTCCTGGGTCGATGCTCAACCACTGCTGGGCTCATTTTTTTAAAAAAATATATTTTTATTGATTTCAGAGAGGAAGAGGGAGAAACATCAATGATGAGAATCATTGATCAGCTGCCTCCTGCCCCCCCCTACTGGGGATCGAGCCCAAAACTCAGGCATATGCCCTTGACCAGAATCAAACCTGAGATCCTTCAGTCCGCGGGCCAAAGCTCTATCCACTAAGCCAAGCCAGCTAGGGCTGGGCTCTTTTCATATATATATATATATATATATATATATATATATATATATATATATATTTACTTATTTTATTGTGTTGTGTTGTTTGGTGTTAAGTTGTATGAGCTCTGTATATATTTTGGATATTAACCCCACATCGGAGCTACTGTTTGTAAATACTATCTCCCATTCAATTGATTGCCTTTTTGTTTCTTTTGCTGTGCAGATTT